ATGCTTAATTACAAACAAACAAAGCATTAGTTGAATCTGCTTTAAGTTCTCATATTTTCCACTTAATGAAAACTGCAGGAGTCAATATCATTCTTCACTTGTTAATACTGTTAGAAGACGAAGTAGATATTATATCGGATACGTTATGTGCATCTATCTCGCTTTTTTTTTTAAACATTGAAAGATTCCAATGAGTTTAAGGATCAACATATAACATTTTCCAAACATAAGCAGTTTGATCTTGAGTTAAATATTGATGCGCATATATATATATACAGTGCACATACGTATATATAAGTCGGATTGTTTGTTTCTTTTAATTGAATTTCTCATTTAGACAAAAAAAAAGCTGAGTGAAATCGTCAACAGTACAGAGAAAACGAAAGTACAGCTTACGTACACTGAAAAGCAGGAATTTTCTCGCTGGGTGGTTTCTTCTTCTTTTTTCTTCCAGAAATCGACAAAAATCCTTCCACGTGCAAAGCTGTTCTATTACTTCAGCCTAGAAAGCCGCTTTTGTGGAGCTGCTATTAGTACGCCTAAAGCTGTGGGATCTATTTGACGTAAGGTAAGGAGAAAAACGAATGGAACATTTAGTTGGTTGGCTAACCTGAATGTTTCTCTCCCCAGGCAGTGCAAGATATGCCATGCTATCTGCGGCGAGCTTTACTACACCGTATATATATGTTTCTATTCATCATCGCTTCGTTCAGTTTTTTTTACAGGTGTATTATTATTGTTGTTGTTATTATTTGGAATTTAGCCAATCATGTGCCAAAAATGAATTTCGTATAATAAATTGCTTCTATGCTCCCCGGTGGCACAGCGGTAAACTTGAGGGTTTATAACGATAAAAATCGGGGTTCGATCTTTGCAAATAGCTCATTGTGTAGCTTTGTGTTTAACAACAAAATAAACAAGCTTATCTAATTTTCCTGGCATATACTTCAGCGTTCTTTAAACGTCTCGTAATCAGTTTTGAAGTAACATGGCAGATGGATCCAGTATACGCGATACGTGTACGTTTTGGAATTTTTACTCCATTTGCAGACGTAAATTGTTACGCGTAGAATAACCTTATGTTTATTGTTTTTAGCTTTCCGAAAACTAAATATGATAATGGCTAATTCTTTATTCATTGGTTTTAGTAACTATTTCACCCCGTCTCTGTGATTCAGCTTTAAGTCTGCAGGCTTACGACTCTAAAATTCGGGTTTCGATACCCGTGGTGGGTAGAGCACAGATGGTTCATTTTGTAGGTTTGCGCTTGACAACGACCAAAAGAAAGCTATTACGGGTTTTTAAATTAAACGTTCCATGGACGACGTCTTGAAAACTTGAAAGAAAATATTTAAGTATACTTTAAGTGCAGTTTTTGAGACAGTTTTAAAACTAATAACATACAGAAAATTAACATTCTGCAGAGAGAAAAATGGATGAGATACAGTTAAACGAGAATATTTAAAGTACCAGCGATATTGAAGAAATGAAACACAAAGTGATGAAACTACAGACAACTTAGAATGGTTGACGTGCCTTTAGTGCTCCTGAGGTGAACACTAAGATACAGTTTGTTTAGAACGATAAGTTCACTATTTATGGGTCGAACGTGGCCTATCGTTAACATTCAGGAGTGTAAGTCCACGGGTTCGTGGCTTGCCTCCTGTTGCCACAAATTCGCGCTCTGCATTTTGAGAACGTGAGAATGCGTTATAAGAGTGACAGACATACCCTTACTATTTGATTAGAGTAGACCAAGAGTTAGCGGTAAGTGATTTTGAGTAGCTGTCTTTCGTCTAGTCCATAAATTCAAAATTAAGGGCGGCTAGTGCAGAAAGCCCTTGTGTAGCCTTACGCGAATATCCTAAATAAATAAATCCACCACGTATGTGTCCATTCGGGGTTCGAACCCCGTGGCGTACACAACGCGGAAAGCTCATTGTGGAGCTTTGCGCTCAAATAAAACAGTTTATTTTCCAAAAATGAAGAAATGGAAACATTAAAAAAATATTTGACATTTATAGTCATAGCGTAGAGAAAATTTTCATTCTGCAGGCTGAGGGAAAATGTGAATTTTACATGAGAATATTTAAACTACCAGTGATATTAAAGAAATGAAATGAAAAGTGACGAAACTTCTTGAGAATGTTGGGAATCAAATAATCCTGGATTGAACAAAGAGAGGCGACTTGAATTTATTTAAACATGTACAATTTACTCAAATAAAGAAGAAAAAATCTAGCTTAAAGTTTCCAAGAATTAAAAAAATAAAAAGTTTAAGCGAAATATTTGAAAAGTAGACTGGCTCCATTTGCTGAAGTAACACGTAAAGCGATAAGAAAATTTGTGGAGAAAACTCTTAAATTGATTTGTTCAAGTAAACGAGTCATTAATTCTCATCCAAATTATAACTATATTTTCACAGAACATTAATAATAATTGTTTGAAGGAAAAAAAAAAGACAAAGAAACTGATGGAAAATGTGCTACCTTTACCGTCAACGAGTTTCTGTTGACGCACGAGCTGTAATGATTATTAACATTATATATATACACACATACACACACACACACAGGGTCATGTAATGTTTAGTTGTGTTGAGTTGAGTTAAACTTTAATACAAGAAATATTTATAAGAAGTTTGTATATTTGATACGTAGTTGAATTCATTCGAGTGCTAAATAATTTAACATGGAGGTTCTAATGAAATATTTATTTTAGCAACTACTTAAGCATGGCGCAGATTACTGAAAGAGGATGCTGTTACTGGTCGCTAGCCTTCTGAAGATTGCGTAAAGATACATGTTTCTTTTGGATTTCGCGCAAAGCTACACGAGGGCTATCTGCGCTAGCCGTCCCTAATTTAGCAGTGTAAGACTAGAGGGAAGACAGCTAGGTCATCACCACCCACCGCCAACTCTTGGACTACTCTTTTACCAACGATTAGTGGGATTGACCGTCACATTATAACGCCCTCACGGCTGAAAGGGCGAGCATGTTTGGTGTGACGGGGATTCGAACCCGCGACCCACAGATTGCGAGTAGAGCACCCTAACCACCTTGCCATGCCGGGCTGAAATATACATGTACAGTAGTGAATATGTGGAGTTTTTCAACTTACGTTTGTTTACATTCTGGAAACAAAAAGTTACCAAAATCTACACTGTATATATCAAAGTTTATCGTAATTTAATTTTATTATTAGCTTTTCTTAATAACCATTTAATATCTTTATACAGAATTAAAAATTGAATGGAAAGAAACTTCAGTCGTCAATTAGTTATTTTTGGTCAGTTGTAGGGAGTAATCTATACGCAGTGCAAGAAATTTGAATCTATTTTTTCAGATGTTTTCATCATTGGAAGTTATAAATATCACAGCTAACGATATATTTAAAAAGTTTAAAGACCTTTGTGAGTCAAGCTTGAGAAAGAGCCAATGTTCATAGTAATAGCTGTTTATTAAACACAAGAGAGCATAAAACTACAAAATAAACTACCTTTCATAGTCAAAGTCTTCACGTTTGGTTAAGATCTAACAATAAAATATTAGCGGCTGGACTAGTTGAAAAAATATGAATGTTATATGACATTCCAAATCTTGGCTCTCCGGTGGCGTCCTTAAAATGAAGAAACACTGATAGTTAATTTTATTTTTTATTGTTAAGCACAAGGATACACAATGGGCTACCAGTGATCTGCCTACGTAACGCTGAACCGTCGGGAGAGGGGGCTTTTTTTTGTGACATACTGATTAGATGTCAAATTTTTAGTACGGTTGGGTTTTATAGAAGTAATGTACTAAAAGACTTATTCTATACACTATTGGTAAAATTTTAAATATTAACTTTAGTAAGTGATCAAATAAGAGCGTTCAGCTTAGTTTATTCCACTAAAACACAAACCGAGACTGACAGTACTAAGCATCAAATGGTTTAAATAATATATTCTGTTCGAATCCGTAATGTGCATTTGTAACGTGCTTTTGACATATTAAGTCGTAAAGCTTATTGTTGAAAGAAAAGTATTGTTGAAATAATTAACTGCTACCTATAGTAAACAAAAGTTCTATCAAATTTACACCGTGAAATAACAAAAATAAAATAACTAAAATTATAGGAGCCATCCTTTGTCTTTATTCATCTGTGATCGTAGTTGTTCGATGAGAAGAGCTTCTTTGAATTTTCTGTCAGTGATCTGGTGGCTTTGGTGAGGATTTGTACGGAGAATGGTGATTTCAAGTTAGGTGTTACTTGTTCATTATTAGTTAAAAAAAATGATGTGCAACTGTTCTTCTTTCATGTTGTTGTTTATAAAGATCGTCAATATGTTATCCTATCCTTGTGTGTAGGGTTTCTCCTATGTACGTATGATGGCAGATGTTACATGTATGCTGGTAAACAACATTGGAGATAAGACACTCATCTTTAGATTGCAAACACGTTTTTGTAAAAACAGTTGGCTTTATTACGTTGTAGGATAGTGTACTGAGATTTTAAAAGTTGACTTTTTAGGATTGGAACTGCCTGTTCTATAACTTTAATCCTGAGTATAATTTTTATTTTCCTGGAGATAGTTTCGTCAATTAGAAGTGTTATAACAATAATCTTTTTTGTGTTATATTTGGGAAATTGTTTTTTTTCCTCTTTGTTTATCTGTGTTTTCTCATGTTGGAAGTGCGATGCTGATTTTTTGCACGTCATAGTTCTTGAAAATTTGTTCGATGTAAAAAGGTGGATATTCCTTGCTCAGAATAAGAGATTTTAGTTCGGAGCGTGTAATTTTTTTTTCATTACAGTTACGATCGATTTATGTTTAATTCTTCAATAATTTCGCGTTTATTTGGAAGCTTTGGGATGATGGGAGTTGAAGTTAAGGAAGAGAGGTTTTCTTATTGGTTTGTGAAACAAGATAGATTGTATATTATTGTCATTGTCGATCCTCAAGGTAACGCCAAGAAAATCTATGTTCTTCTTGTCGTTCGAATGATTCAGAGTGAATTGGATGTTGGGGTCTATGGAATTTAGAAAGTATAAAAATTGGATCTATTTACAGGGGGCGAGGTAGAAAAACGTCCACAAAATCCATAAAACGTAAAATGGAAAACTGAAAATTTGTATGTATCTTCCGATGGACCCAATAAACCTCCATGCCAAATTTTGTGAAGATTCATTTACAGGGGGCGAAGTAATGGTAAAAAATGCCCACAAAACGTAAAATTGAAAATTTGTGTCTACCCCCGCATGGATTTAATGAACCTTAACATCAATTTTGGTGAAGATCCATCCACACCCTGCGAAGTTGTTACATGGACATACAACAGAGAGTACTATGATACTTATATAGATATAATGTATATATAATGTTTCTTATAGCAAAGCCACATCGGGCTATCTGCTGTGTCCACCGAGAGGAATCAAACCCCTGATTTTAGCGTTTTAAATCCGTAGACTTACCGCTGTTCCACCGGGGGACGTTCAAATAAAAATAAATAAGATGTATATCTATATATCCACATGGCCATTTGGAGTAGAAAATGGTTTAGTTGATCCTACACTGTACGGAAAAA